GGAGTCTCACTCTGTCGCCAAGCTTGAGCGCAGTAGTGCAATCTCGGCTCACTGTAACCTCCGCCTCTCGGGTTCAAGCGATTCTCCAGCCTCTGCCCCTCCAGTAGCTGGGACTACAGACACGTGCCACCATATCCGGCTAATTTTTGTATTTTTAGTAGAGACGGGGTTTCACCATATTGGCCAGGATGGTCTCGATCTCTTGACCTCTTGATCCGCCCACCTTATCCTCCCAAAGTGCTGGGATTACAGGCGTGAGCCACCGCGCCTGGCTCGCTGCTGGTTTTAATATTTTGATTTTGAAAAGATCACTATTAGACTCCAGTATTAAATAATTTTTTTTAATGCCAGCCTATTGTGTTAAGAAATACACCAGAGAAGATGAAGACCTTTTGATCTTCATTCCCAGGTGTTTATTATAGTAAAACTCAACCTAGAGATACCCTTCATAGAACTAGATACCTCAAGACAAAAGTATTTTTCTGATTCTAGGGAGAAACATATTATTTTGGATATTATATGTATCCAACAGTTCATTTTTTATCAGCAGGCTGACTTTTAATATTTCACATTTTTTCTGTTGCCATATTTTAGTTATTTTTTAAAAAAAATATTGATGGTAAAATTCATTCATTTTTATGGGGTACATGTATTGTTTTGTTATTTATACATGCATAGAATGTGTAATGATTAAATAATGGTATTTAGGGTATCCATCATGTCAAGTATTATTTCTATTTGTTGAAAATATTTGAAGTCTTCTAGCTATTTTGAAATATTCAATACATTGTTTTTAACTATAGTCATCCTACTCTACTACTGAACATTTGAATTGCTCTTTTAACTGTATGTTTGCTCCCATTAACCAACCTCTCTTATCCCCCCAATTCCCAACAAACACCATGCCAAGCCTCAGATAACTATCATTCTACTTTCTGCCTCCACGAGAGCAATGTTCTTTGCTCTCACATATGGAGGAGAACATGATATTTGTCTACCTTATTTCACTTAGCATAATGTCCTCCAGACTCATCCATATTGTTGTAAATGTTAGGATTTCATTCTTTTATGGCTGAGTGTTTCATTTTGTGTGTGTGTGTGTGTGTGTGTGTAAATAAAACCACATTTTATTTATCCATTTATCCATTGATGAACACTTACGTTGATTTCACATCTTTGCTATTGTGAATAATACTACAATAAAAATAAGGGTGCAGGTATCCTTTTGATATGCTGATTTGCTTTTCTTTGGATAAATACTTAGGTGTGAGATTGCTAGATCATACATTAGTACTACTATTAGTTTTTTGCAAAATCTCCATATTGGTTTCCATAATGGCTGTACTAGTTTACATTCCCATCAACAGTGTATAAGAGTTCCCTTTTCAACATACCCTTGCCAGCGTCAGTTTTTTTTTTCTTTTTCCTTTTAATAATAGTAATTCTAAATGGGGTAAAATGATATCTTATTGTAGTTTCGATTTGTGTTTTCATGCTAATTAGTGATGTTGAGCATGTTTTCATATAACTATTGGTCATTTGTCTTCTTTTGAGAAATGTCTATTCATGTCCTTTGCCCGCTTTTTGATGGGATGATTATTATTTTCTCCTGTTGAATTTAGTTCCATGTATTCTCTGAACTTTAGGCCCTTATTAGATAAACAGTTTGCAAATATTTTTAAATATTAAATATTTAAATAATTCAAATATTAAATATTTTCTACTATTTAACAGGCTGTTTACTCTGTTGATTATTTCTTTTGATGTGCAGAAGCTTTTTAGTTTAATATAGTCCCATTTGCCTATTTTTATCTTGCCTGTGCTTTTGAGGACTTAGCAATAAAATCTTTGTATAGACCAATGTCCTGAAGCATTTCCCCTATGTTTTCTTCAAGTAGTTTTATAATTTTGGATCTTACGTTTAGGTTTTAGCTGATCTTGATTTGATTTTTGTATATGGTGAGAGACAGGGGGCTAGTTTCATTCTTCTGAGTATGATTATCCTGTTTTCCCAGCACCATTTATTGAAGAGCCATCCTTTCCCCAGTGTCTGTTCTTCCCAACTTTGTTGAAAATCAGTTAGTTATAAATGTGTGGATTTATTTCTGGGTTCTTTATTCTGTTCCATTGGTTTATGTGTCTATTTTTATGCTCATACAATGCTTTTTTTGGTTATATAGCCTTATGATATGTTTTGAAGCCAGGTAGTATGATGTGTCATGTCCTTTTTCCTGTTCTTTTCCTCAGTATTGCTTTGGCTATTTGGGGACTTTTGTGGTTCTATTAATATGTAATATTTAGGAGTTTTTTTCTGTTTCTGTGAAGAATGTCATTGCTCTTTTGAAAGAATTCCACTGAAAATGTAGATTTCTTTCGGTAGTATTGATATTTTGACAATATTAATTATTCTGATCTATGGGCATGAGATATATTTTTTATTTTTTGTGTCTTGTTCAATTTCTTCCACCAGTGTTTTATAGTTTTGCTTGTAGAGGTCGTTCCTTGTTTGGTTAAAATTATTCCTAGGCTTTTTTTAATTTGTAGCTCTTTTAAACGGGATCGCCTCTTGATTTCTTTTTCACATTGTTCAGACTGATGTATAAAAATGCTATTGATTTTTGTATGTTGATTTAGTATTCTGCAACTTTCCTTAATTTACCAAATCTAAGAGTGTTTTGGTGGAGTATTTAGGTTTTTCTTAATATAAGATAATTTCATTTCATAGAGGGACAATTTGGCTTCCCTTTTTCCAATTTGGATGCCTTTTCTTTCTTTTTCCTGATTGCTCTGGCTGATAACCTTCAGTACTAGAATCTTGAAAGGGAGTTATAAAAGTGGACATCCTCATCTTGTTCCAGATCTTGATAGAAAGGCTTTCAGCTTTGCCCCAGTCAGTATGATGTTAGCTGTGACTTTGTAATTATATGGCCTATATTACATTGGGGTACGTTCCTTCTAAATCTAGTTTCTTGAAAGTTTTTACCATGAAAAGATCTTGAATTTTATCAGATGCTTTTACTGAGCCTATTGAGATGATCACATTTTTTAATCTTTCATTCTTTTGATATGATGTATCATGTTTATTGATTTGTGTATATTGAGTCATCCTTGCATCCCAAGGATAAATCCCACTTGATTAACATGTATTATCTTTTTGGTGTTCTGTTTGATTCATTTTGCTAGTATTTTGTTGAAGGTTTTTATGTCTCATTCATCATGGATATTGACCTATAGTTTTCTTTCTTTCTTGTACTCTTGTCTGGTTTTGGTATGAGGATAATGCTGCCTCATAAAATGAAATAGGGAGAATTCCCTCCTCTTCAATTTTGTGGAACAGTTTGAGGAAAATCAATGTTAGTTATTCTTTGTAAGTTTGGTAGAATTCAGCAATAAAGGATCCAATTCTGGGCTTCTCTTCGTTGGGAGACATTTTGTTACTGATTCAATCTATTATGCATTATTGTTCTGTTCAGATTTTCTATTTTTTCCAGACTTGATCTTGGTAGGTTTTGTGATCCCAGGAATTTATTCATTTCCCCTGTGTTTTCCAGTTTGTAAATGTTAACTGTTAATAATAGTGTCTGATGATCTTTTGCATTTCTGTGATGTCAATTGTAATGCCTCCTTTTACATTTGTAATTTTGTTTATTTGGGTATTCTCTCTTTTCCTGGTTAGTCTAGATAGCAGGTTATTTAATTTTTTTATCTTTTCACAAAACCAACTTGTTGCTTTATTGATATTTTGTATTTTTTTTTTAGTCTCTGTATCATTTAGTTCTGCTCTGATCTTTATTACTTCTTTCTTTGTGCTACTTCTGGATTTAGTTTGTTCTTGCTTTCCTAATTCCTTGATGTGTGCATCATTAGGTTGTTTATGTGAAACATTTCTACTTTTTTATTGTAGCAATTTATTGCTATGAACTTCCCTCTTAGCACTGCTTTTGCTCTATCCTATAGGTTTTGGTATATTGTGTTTTTATTTTCATTTTTTCAGAAACTTGTTTGATTTCCTACTTAATTTCTTCATTGACTTGATGGTTGTCTAGGAGATTGTTGTTTAATTTCTATGTATTTGTACAACTTCTAAAACGCCTCTTTTTACTGATTTCTAGTTTTATTTGATTGTGGCATAAGAGGATACTTGGTATGCTATTAACTTTTTAAAAACTTTTTAAAAATTTGTTAAGATTTGCTTTGTGGCCTGACATGGTCAATCCTACAGAATGTCTATGTGCTTATGGGAAAAATGTATATTCTACGACTCTTCAATAAAATGCTCTGTAGATTGGCCTCTTAGTTCAATATGGTCTAAAGTGCAGTTTAAATACAATGTTTCTTTTTAAATTTTCTCTCTGGATGATCTCTCTAATGTTAAGAGTTGAGTGTTGAAGTCTCAATTATTACTGCATTGGAGTACATCTCCCCCTTTTGATGTAATAATATTTCCTTCATATATCTGGATGGTTTCATATTGGGTGCATATGTATTTATAATTTTTATATACTCTTGCTTGATGTATCCCTTTAATATAATGACCTTCATTGTCTCTTTTTTACTGTTTTTGACTTAAATATGTTTTTATCAGATATAAATAGAGATACTTATGCTCACTTTTGGTTTCTGTTTGCACAAAATATCTTTTTCAATCCCTTTACTTTCATTCTATATGTCTTTATAAGTTAAGTGAGTTTCTTGGAGGCAGTAGATAGTTGGGTCACGTGGTCCTTGTTTTTGG